ATGCTACCAACCTAAAAATGTATTATTGAGCACTTATAATTGGCTTCAAGAAGGTCACTAGTGTGATTGATCCAGTGTACAAAACATTAGATACTAATACCTTATCAAAGTTCTTTTATCTTTATTACCCTGTTTGAGTATTCACCCATGGAGAGAGGGACGAAGAAGCCAAGGGGTGTTAAGACTCAACTGCTTGTTTTTTACGCCTTCCTGTACCTAAGTCTTGTGGTCAAACATGATTAGAGACCTGATTACTAGTATACTATCTGCATTCTACAAACTGGCAAACTGGTTTAACAACTTTTTGAGACATGTTCCAGTTCTCATCACTTATTAATGAAAGGAATTCTTAAACGCCCGTTTTTGATTGGATAAGCGTTGCCTTGCACTCAACCAATCAGAAAGCCAAGAAGTTGTCCTCTCGGTTATCTTAAACAGTGAGGACGAAAATCAAATAACTATTGAGGTTGAGAATCCAAGAAACCCATTGCCCTATAATATTCGGTCCGAAAGCTGAAGCTTACGTTAGTTCATCTTTTTCCCTCCGGTATCCTTGTCGATGCTGCATAATTTGGAGTCGATTTCGTCTACGAATGCGACGGATCGTTGGGAGCTAAGAAGGGAAACATAAAATGTCACGTTTACATTTTCTCTCCATTTCTGGCTTCAAATTCTCATAATAAAATGATGTCAAGATAAAAAATCTAACGCAGCCGATTGGCCGCCTCCTCTTGATCTCTCCGCATCAACCTCGACTTTAAGACAATCAATGTCTGTCTTTCAAGTCGAAGGTAATTGTAAACCTAGAAATCTTTAGCGCTTTTTACATCCAGTTTAGCATTAAATTTTCTATACAATCCTTGTAATTACCAAAATATTAGCCGATGCAAATATACTTTACTGTCCTTCATTTCTACCTGGTTCCCCAAAGCGGACGTCTTGTTCAGAGTGACATTCTAAGGTTGTGGAACTTAATATTAGACTCGAAACACTTCCATCTGCTTCAGCTGACACCTTAGGCTATGGAGTAGAAACGTTTGTAATTTATTCAAGTATCTCTTTTTAATAGCCGGAAAACTAACATTGATCGTTTTCCATTCACCGCAGCATCCCCGTCCTTTACATCCGCCTTCTTAATCGCTGGTTTAATCTTTACCACTCCCTCGACCTCTTCCAATGATCGAGTTTGTGACTGCGTCGGTGAGATTATCCCATCCACTTGAGTTGTGTCAGCAAAGTTGACGCGTCTCTTAAAGGAGGCAGACGAAGTGGAAGTAGGAGGAAGGGGAGGAGTCAAAGTGGCAGATGTTGATGTCATTGGGAGCAGATCCTCCGCCTCCTGACATAGGGTCTTCAGCACAGGTGTTGGAGGTGGAAGATGATGTCGTTTTGTGCAGGGTGGGGCTGGTGGTGGCGGTGGAGACGATCGTAGGGACAGTGCCGCTAGGCTGGTCGTCAGTTTGGGTGAGGTGGTGCTGTTACTCCCCAGGCTACCTCGATGATGTGAAAGAAGATGAGTTCTTCTAGAGATGGACTACAAATTGAAATAGAAACTTTTTCTCCAACATAAAAAAGAGCTTTGTTATTGTTTTTAATAAAAGTTAGAAATGCCAGTGAGGAGCATTGCCTCTAAGGCCAAAATGGACACTAATTTAACGCGCATATAAATCAAGAACAAATGGACAGAGATCTGTAATGCTTTGTTTATGTGACCACATGACGTTTGGCGGTCACTTTAGGATTTGTCTGGTTCTTATACACGAGGGCTGGCCCTCGAGCCATGCCCAGGCCCCATTGGTCTTGTCGTCTTCAGAATACATGTATTGAAGCTCACTTATGCCTTCTTCCGCCCTATGAGAAGCCTCAGGACGCTACACGACCAGTGGTTTTCAGAAAGAAATAACCAGAACTAGCGGTATTTTTGCCGATACACAAAGACGCCTGTTTCCTTAAGTCGGGTCTGATGCCTTCTATTACGAAATAAAGGATCTAAAGACATTACAATGCCAAAGATATCATTATCATTTTCATTTAATTGGCAACAAGCATCTCATAAGGAAAGTCCCGTGATTCCTAATGAAGTATGGAAAAAATCACAAAAAAATTTATTCCAATAGCACGCCTTCCTTTTATTGCCATAGCTGTGATGCCGGAAACACGAGTTGGGAGCAAAAATTCACTTATTTTACCGGAATAAATTGGTCATTCCATGGCAGACCTAAACAACCCAGAACCATCGGCATCAAAATAAGCAGTAAATTGGCTTATCTTTCACCAAGAGGCTTTGCCTATAGTGGGCTTTGGAACACACGTTGATTTGGCAAAGCATATTCGAAGCATAATTATTATTGCTAAACTAATTTGGCAGATCAAATCAGGCATTACGTTGCAGTGTACACGATGGTGGGATTTGGCAGATAAAAACTGCAGATCTGCAGGAAGGTTTCGATCCAATAATTAAGTATGCTTTTGTTTTTACAAGCAAATGATAAAAATATTGTCGTCTGTCAGTGTTTTAAGCGGCGTATGACACACTCTAGCCTGGCCAATTTTTTGCAGCAATATTTGCTAGGCATAAAAGAATAGTTAATTTGATTTAACAATCAAAATAAATCGTTACTTTAAACCTAACAATATCTATGAGGATAATAAAAATAGGCTCAATTAAAGTTTGTTTATATCTGTCACATAGTTTATTTGATACTTGCTGGCTCGAGCGCAAAAGGTGTTAACTCTCAACGTTCAAGGTCGTGATACGATTCTGAACACTGAGGCGGGGATGGCCAGAAATCCTACATTTACTGACGCAAAAAATTGTTTATCTGTCAATACAAAGAGATGAAGGCTCTGTATGATAACCTTAATGGATGGCAAATGAAGCTCGCACAATTAGCTTAATGTCGGGTATTGTTACTAAAAACACTGTTTCTGCCTTAATAGTTTATGGCTTTTAATTTACACTCTATAAGATCTCGGCCTACGCCGCTAAAAGCAAATTTTTAGGGCGCTTCAAAATTTAAATTAGTCAACAGCGAACTTCCTTCAGTCATTAGTTTTTGAATAAGTTTTACAGCTATCATAAATTTCGGCAATTATGGACAAATTTTTAATGACCAAATTTTTTTCTAGCACGTGAACGCACTTTTTGCTTTCCTTCTCCATGCCAAGACTGATATTTGTAAAGAAAGTCTAAGCAAAACCACAATTTGCTGCTTAATGAATTTAGCTACGACTCTTTGTTAATAAGCAAGTATATAATTCTCAAATCCGTAAATTTTTTCAAGACTGAATCATTAAAAAAGGAGATATGATCAGACAGTCAGTACTCCTTACACGAAAAATATATTCTACTTCCATCATATGTATTATTCTCTAACAATGCTAGGAAAACGCTTTCTGTATTCACACTTGACTGCTGTAGCCTCTATTATATTGCTAGACAAAGGCGCATAAGTAACTGATGTGCTAAATCCAATTTCATTCTGATACACTTTTTGGCCGATAGTAACGCTATCACTCCGTCTGTCAGCATTGCCTAAAAGAGAGAGGCAAGTCTATAGTTGTCATTTTGTCACTACTGTGTGGGAACAAAGCTCAATCAGTCGTCTCTCTCGCATTTGAAGCGAGATTATGGTGTTGGCATTCGACATGCAAATTAAAAGAAAAAGGAGCCTGACCTCTACCCTTTTCGTGCCCATTTTTTACAAATTAGCTCTTTAATTTGCCTCTAAAAGAGGTGTTGAGTCGGTTTGAGGATGCAACTCCAGGTAAATCGGCAATAATGAATAGGTAGAATGCTTGACAAAGAGGCCTTTAAATCTTAATCATTTCAGCAAGACTGCCAACTCTCGTCAAGTCTACTTGCCCACCTTCACACTCACTGGCGATGCTGTGTGGTCCATTTACTATCATCTTTCTCTTACAAAATAGCAGATTATTAAAAAGTTGTTCTGATTTTCATCTCCAGTCTTCTCCAGCAAGCCAGATGGATAATAGTACCGCCTCATAGAATATTCCTTGGCTGTTTTTTTTGCATTCCTTGCAGTGATCATCAGTAATAGTGAAATATGCAAACGATGGAGGAGACAACATTCACATGCTTCCTACTTTTCGTCCTTTTCTTGCAAAAGACAAGATTATTGTTTTGAACACTCTCTCCTTCCCCTGTAAGGAAGAATAGTGGACTGTTGAGCGAGTCGGAATGAGATGAAGAACTGTGTTGGCGACTGCAAAACTGTGCATGGAAGGTCTCTAACGTCACGCAGCAACGCCAGACGACATTTTTCCTTTTGAAATGTCATTTTTCGTGCCTTGAAACGATGCAATGGTAGTCACACCGACTGACCTTTTAGCATTCAGAACTGCCTTGTCCATTCTTCAAATGGCAAGATTTAAGGGTCGGTTGTAAAATCGCGTCATCAGGGTAGTCAACATGGTTCGATGGAATGGAAAGTGGCTGGCTACTTCTCGAAATATCGTTAAGAAGATTTAGGATTAAAATTCGTCTTTCTCAGGACACATTGACAGTAAGGATATGTGATTTTGTTGACTGTGCAAAATTCTCTTCTCTACTTTGCATTTTCTTTAAAATAATCATGGTGTATATATACTACTTAAATGATTTGATCGGCTCATGTCTTAGCATGTGACCTGTCATTTATAGCACATTTTTTAACGTAGTGTCAATGTAATTAGCCGCTTAACAGGGCCCCTGAAAGGCCTCGCTGAGGGTAACAAAGTGTGCAATAGGAAGGGGTTTAGATCTGTCAGCTTAATTCTGACTTACTCATCCTCCATCGGGCGACAGTGGAGTGGTGTAGTGCAAATCTGCTTTATTTTGATGTCATAAAATTTTACCCCACAGAAAAATGCCTTTCGGTCGAGTGTAACGGAAGAATGAGGCGCCTTAACGTCGTGTAGTTACACGGACAGGCAGACGGGTTTACAAATGGCCACACATCAATTTCAGCCCCACGCAGACAAGCTTATTGGACCAGCAATCAAAATTTTAGCAGTGAGTTACTGTTTCAAACTAACACAAGCAGTAAATAAGGAAAAGGAAGTAGCAAAACTTTGCAGCAAAGGATTTTTTTGTTAAGTGTATGCAATTCGGTTCATTCTGTTAGGTATGCGCCCACCTACGCAAGTTGCCACTGGATCCAGCTCGCTTACCACTGCCCTGAGCCAATTTTATGGTCAGCTTTTTATGGGCAGCATCTTTACGGACTATCGGTTGTAAAACAGAGAACATCACATCCCCCCAGCCTTCAGATCGGCTACCCTCTTTACCAAAGAATGTGCAATTTATGTCAGACTCTATAGCCTCGAAGCATTCTACTAACCAATAGTAAGTAGTATATCACACCAATTTTATTCTAGTTTCGTAATCAAAATTCTGTCTATAGCAGATTGCGATCCCATTTTCAGACTTTAAACTGAAGGTGAAAAGGAAGAGGACTTACGGGTGCCCTTGGGCGTCTCGGCTTGAAACGCCTTGTGGTCTGAAATTCTATTCGTTCCTCTTCTCCTTCTCCCTCTTCCGACGAAGACGACAATCCATCCTCACTTACGAGCCTCTCATTACTGATTGTTACATCCTCTCGCCGTTGCTGCACTCTCTGTTTGAGGCGGTGGATAAAAGCCGCTGAAATGAGATTTGTTTTCTCCTGTGAGGCACCGAAAGACACCTGTATCCTCTCACGCAGTGTAGTTGCTGTCAGCGTTGCGGTCGCTGTTGTGGAAGTTAGACCTGTTGGTGTGGTGGAGATGACGGAAGGCATGGAAGCTGACTGATTGTAGGTGAATGGTGATGCGGCGAGAGGCTGTTGAGTCACCACGTCATTGAAGGCTTGGAAGAGGCACGGTGGCATGGGCTCGGTCTGTTGGCTTTGATCGCTTTTGCGCTTAGCGGTGGATTGCAGTCGTTGCTGCTGTTCATGCAAGACGTTTCGTGAATTCTGCGTTATTTAAAGCGAGAAGGCGTCAGTATTGTCAAAAGCCATTTATGAAAAAAAAACCATCGATTCTCATGCTAATCAATGTTTGATCTCTTTAGGTTCCTACACAAATTTAAAAAAATAATAATGCTTTTCTTTTTCAGTTCAAACAAATAAGATGAGAAAAAAGAGACCAATGCGAACGTGTCTACTTATAAGTAGTATCGCAATTGAGTAGCATACTAAAGTTGGGTTTGTAAAATATAGCATTAAGTGCTCTTCAGTGAAGATAAGATGGTGAGGGAAAAAATCTAACAGCATATTAAACACAATAATTCTTTTTTTAATTTGAGTGAGAGAATATCTGTCTATTAAACGGACCGTAAAATTAATCCGGAACTTGGACTTTTGAGGGTAACCAATAAAAATAAATTAAAAAAATTAATGCGAGAGTAATTTATGCCCCCGAGAGGCTTAATAGTCTCCTAGATTTAAAGTGCTTTACTTTGTGTGCGTTGCTGAATTTAATTTTACCTCTCCATCACGACATTTGAGGGTGAGGAGGCAAGGTTTTGCATCTATAATGCAATTGAAGAGGAAGTCGTGTACTCATTACACGCAAATTGCATAAAAGTGCGGGTAAAATTTTTTTGTTCTGTGTCTTTCAGTCTCAAAATCCTTTGAAAGAGTGGGAGATACCTTGTCCTATTTATATTGTGGCTGAGCTACTTAAAATGGATTTCAGTAGCTTACCTATTCTCACCTCGTTGGTGGGTAAAATGGGGAGGAAAATTTCGTCAATTTTCCTTTGATTTGCAAAAGATAAGGTGAGGTGACCTAAATTCTATCAGTGTGTTGGCCTTCTTTATTTACTTACCAAGGTCATCAATGATTTAATGAGAAGGT